TGATGGATTGGGTTAACATATGACCCACAAGTTAGTGCAGTCCAGCACACCATACTCCAATTATTGCATTCTGAACTTGATTGCTCGTGTCGGAAAATATTTCAACTTTCATCATCCACTGCCAATGAAATTTACAATATCCTCTCTCCCTACCAATTTATAAAATATTTTTAAATAAAATCACATATATTAATAAAATATATTAAATACATTTTATAATCTTATTTTTTCAAGATAAAAAAATATAAAATTTTAAAAAATGACATTCATTTATGAATATTAAAAAAAAAATATAATAAAAATGAAAATATTAAAAAAATATCTCAATGTACTTTATATTTTAAGGAAATTGAATCTCTCACAAAAATATTTATGTTTTGAATTTGTTTCTAAGAATTCAATAATTTAATGAGTTTAGTAACTTAGTACGTCCATCATAGCCCTTGCACGTGTCATGTTAGTTAGAAACTAATTAATTCTCCTTCAATTTAATATTATACTCATAAATTAATTAATTACTTAATTTTAAAATTAAACACTCTTCTTTTATTTATTTTTATATTTTTATTTAATGAGAGTGTTTCATTTGGAAAATTTTATTAGTTACACCACTTAATTAAAAGTATTTTCTTAAAAAATTTCATTGATTAGATCTTGAAAAATACAAAATACCCTACCTTGATCAAATGGATAGCGCTAGAACACAAAAGCATCGATCAATCGTGTGGAATCAATTCTTTTTTCTTTTTTTCTTTTAGCTTCATGATGATGTGTAAAACGTGCCGATAGTACTTATCGATCGAGACGAGGGAGAAAAGTCCGGTGTCACAAAAGTTTAAGCTGTTATTTTCAAATTCCATTATAGTCCCTTCAGTGTCTTTTTATTAAGATATTAAAAATAAGACTTGTCACTAAACTAGAAAATATTGATTCAAAAATCAATGGCGAGGGGGTAATTGAAGTAGAATTAAACCAGTATGAACTACATTAATATATTTATACTAATTATTGTATTTATAAAAAATAAAAACTTTGAAAATTCATGAAAAGTTAATTAGGATAAATCAATGTTACTTTCATAATATTTTATCAGAATAAAAAAATATTTAATCTTATTAACTCTATCTAAGAAATAAATAAGTTTTCAATTTAACCCTTAATAAATATACGTACTTTAAAAATAAAAAAACTCTAATATTTAATAACATTTTAACATTTAATAGAAATAAAAGAGTAAAGAGAGACGCAATAATAATTAAAATGTGTAGTATAAACAAGACTAAAAATAAATACTCTTTTTTAATTCCAATAAATAAAATAAGAGGAGCAGCCCTTGAAGGTTTCAACAGCTAGGTATTAACGTGTATCAAGCTACTTGCATGCATGTTGGAGATGCCAAACATGGCAGGTTTATTTATTATTTTTTAATACCTACGTCTTTTCCTCCCTGAGGCCTCCTGGATTTTTTCCTTGCAAGTGGCTTGCATTTAGAAACTTGCATGTCTTGTTCTTTCTCGTCGTCAGGTAAACATTTCATTTGTTCCCTGTGTTTGCGTTGCTTCGTACAGGTACAGTTTTCAATGCAAAAAACCATCCGTTGTGCTGTGCAAAACTTGGCTATATATTTTAAATTAAGTAATTAGTAATAATACTTACTAATTAGGTTGTAACATCTAGCCTTTTTTACCCGTAAAAGACAGATTAGATCGCTTGAATATATATTGTAAATAAGTGAACACTCAATTAATTCTACTTAATTTTTAGACATCCATGTTGCTCAGTTGGCCCCGTTAAATACATCAATGTCCCTTTCGCATGAACCACATCTTAAATATATAACTATCAACCATGGTATTGAAATTTAGGTTAATCCGATGGATTGAACTACTACTTTAACCGGTTCAACAATAGTTTGATTATGAATTTAACAACTAATCCTTAAATAAATATCCTGACCGATTAAATGACAGATCCGATTTACCTTACTATGAAGTGTTCATTCTTGTGTTGATCAGTAAGTGCAATAGAGGAAAAGGTATAGCAACATGCAAGTGAAGTCCAAGAGAAAGAGGCTCGATGCCGTCTGTGGCATTTCTCTTCCCCCTGTGTTTTTTTCCCCCTTCGTTGAGATATTAAGAAAGAGAATTAATTTAACTAGTTGTTAGTATTGCAACGTACAGTACAAGAAAACAAGCATGAATTATCAGCGAGGAACCAAATTTCCCTTTGTTTCCTGCTTTATGCTAGGACATGACGTATAATTCGAAGCTAGCGAGTAGGGAAAAGTCCAACGCTACTAAAACACCAAGCTGATGTTTCGTCGTTTTATCAAAATAGCTATATTTAAACAAGCTTTCACCGGCCACTCTCTTTCAGAAATTCGGCTGATCATCGTCACAGAAACTCAAACCACCTTAATTCTCTCCAAACATGTCAGCCACTATTTATTCTTCCTGGTCCTCCGGCTTATGCGGTTGCTGCTCCGATTGCGGCACTTGTGAGCCCTGTTCATCTTCTTCTTATATCCACGTCATATACATAAACATGATTAATGGCCTAATTAATACGTTATTTAGTTATATTATTGTTTTATTATTATTATTGCTGGTGCTTATGAGTAGGTTGCCTCACGTTGTGGTGCCCCTGTATCACTTTCGGAAGGATCGCAGAGATCGTTGATCGATGAACAACCAGTGAGTCTTGGTGTCTTCTTCTCTTTTATCAATATCATATTTTCATCTGTTTTTTTTTTTTGTTTTTGTTTTTTGGCCGTATGCTTCGATGCCTAGCTAGTTTGAGGACGACTCTGAGTGGGTTCGGAGGTCAGCGCCGTACTGACAATCACAAGCAGAACAGAAAAACGACGTCGTTTTGCTGGAGAAGACAGTAAACTTGAAGTTCATTAGATGCTTTGAGTATGATGAGTGATAATTATTAGTAATTTGGCAGGTTGTTGTGTGCAAGGAACAATATTCTACCTACTTGGGGGTTTCACACATTTTCTGTCATGCTACGCTTGCATTTACCGAACAAAACTGAGGCATCTGTACAAAATTAAAGGCAACGAAGCTTGTGACTGCTTGCAGAGTTGTTTCTGCCCCCACATGGCCCTTTGTCAAGAGTATCGTGAGCTCAAAGCTCGCGGATTCGACATGTCAGCCGGTAAACTTTCTGTGTGTGTGTGTGTGTGTGTGTTTTTCTGATTGATAGATTCGGAATCTATTTTTGTGGTTTGACATATATATTTGGGTTTATTTATATTTATAGGCTGGCAAGGAAATGTGGAAATGCAGACCGCCGGTGTCAAGACGGTTGCTCCGGCGGTGGAAGGTGGCATGAGCCGTTAGCGGTGGCCATCGCTTTCTCTGATTGGTTCTATGTTCGTACATGTGTTTGTGTTTTTGTGTGCTTGTATGTGTGTGTTCAACGATGTGTCCGATGGGAGTGATCAATACGTCTTCAGTACTGTTGGTGGATGAATTAAGAATAAGGCCTTGTCTGGCTCCATCTTTCTCCTCTGTATAGAATCTATTTTCATTTTACACACATATATGTTCTGTTTTATTTTAGTTTGTGCTTGTTCCAACATGTTCAGCTCCATTGAATCAATGATATCTACTCTCTCTCTCTCTCTCTCTCACATATTTTGGACCCCTACTAAATCTGAATCCTTTATTATACTCCATAATTTTTTTTTTTTGGGCAGATATGGTACTCTATTATTTATGTGCTTTTAAGGATAACAGAATGATGCCAAGAAACTGCATATATGCAATACATAGGCTTCAAAGTTCGAAGTTGAGACAAGGTGTGCTGAAGCTATACCTTATTTGGCCGCTATAGAAATTCTTGCTTATTCTGTGTTTTCAGTCCCAAAAGAACAGAGTACCATGTTACCGCTGCAAATTTATTCTATCACGACTCGGGCACTTGTATAATCAAAGTCGAGTGCAAAACACTCCACTCACCAAAAAAATAATAAAATAAATAATAAATAATAATAATAATATGTAAATTAATAAGAATTATATGATTAATTGTCTCTCGTATTAATAAATATTTTATAATCTTTTTTTTCTGGTTCATGAATTGGTCTATTTCTGGTTCTCTTTTTCAAATCTCACCTCCTGTTTTGTTTGGAAACTGATGATGAGGGTGTTGACTTTTTCCTTTTTTTCTTTTATTTTGCTTAGTTGTACTTTTGCGTTCATTATAATATTTGTCTTTTAATCTAAAATAATAAATAAATAAATATTTTATAATTTAAAAATAAATAATTATAAGATGCAAAATATTTTTTGGGCTATTTACCTTTTTATTTTTTTAATACTTCATTTGTTCAAAATAAAATAGTTTTTAAAAACGTCTTATAAAAGTATATATTATTTTTTTATCTTTATTTCAATTATTAACACACTTCCATGATGAGTGAAAGATAAATTTATGCAAGATTAGATAAATAAATGAAAGGGTAAATTAAAAAAATATTTATATTTTGAATCAAGAGAAGCACTTACTAGCAACGTTCTTAAAATGATACCAACTAAACAAATAAAATTGTCGAGATACTATTTCATGGTTGAATGATTAGATTGAGCTAGACAGTGATCAACTAGTTGTGATCAATTAAATTAATATATTTAAATGTTATTAAGTAGTATAAATTAACTTTCTTATTTTTTGGGTTTTAAAATCATTATTTGCTTTTTTTAAGATATAATTATCGCATATATTTCTAAAGGAAAACTAAAACTAATTTTTTTAAAAAAAAGTAGAATATAAATATTTGAATAAACATGAATAAAAATGTGTTTACATATGAGGAAATAAGTTCAAGTAGACAATAATTAGGGAAGAAAATAAAATTAAAAAAAGAAAATTAAGAAGAACAAGTCCCAACTAATTGATTTATTTATAAATAAACACTGTGAATCTGCAAAAATACAATTAATTTTTTCTTAGAATTTTATTGTAATTTGTCCCAGATGTGAAAAGACAATAGTACCCCAATATTTTTTTACATGACAAAAATACCCTCTCGAATTAAAGCAAAGAATCACGTGTCATTTTCTGCCCAAAACGAATTGAAGAAAGGCTCTCCCTTTGATACGTGGTCAATGCTGCTCCTTGTTGTCCACCGAAGTCGAAGCTTCTTCCCGTACCACTAGTAAGACGTGGTCAATTTTCCATTCTTTCTCTGTCTTTCGTGCTCTTTCTTCAATCTCTGTTTGTTGTCGCGGGTGCAATTTTTTTATTTTTTTTGGGGAGAGAATGAGTTTTCTTTTTTCCGTGAGTTTGTGGTTGTGGATGGTTATAGGCACGTGAAATCGGAGAAAGTGTTTCTGAAACAGAGGACTGTTAATGCTTGATGGTTTTATGCTTCGATCTCTGTTTTATTGCTTGAATGCTTGATACCTGAAATAAATATGTCGTGATTTGCATTCAAGAATTTAATATTAGATAAAATTTCAGTAGTGTCCCCGATACATGATGATTTCTGGATTCGTCCCGGTGATTTGGTAATGTGAATGCTATTTTTGTTGGGATGGTTTTCATGATTTAATGGTTTGTGCAGTGTTAAAATCCGTCCGAATAAGATGCCCAATGTTATGTAAATATTAAAGATCAAGTGTTGCTAATGAGAAGCGGTGGATACGTGAACTTGATATCTATGTGAAATGTGAATTGACAGCTGTAAATACCTGATTTGGAAGTTGTGAATATTCAAAGAGATAATGTTAACGTACGTTGTGCAGACGTTGTGATAACATGTCTTGTTAATGTTGAATATTTGGCACAGAAACGACAAGATTTTTAGCTAACCTCTCTTTCCGAAGGATTCAGCTGATCAAAGAAACTCAAACCAGCTTAATTAATTCTGTCAAAATATGTCAGCCAATTCTTCCTGGTCCTTCGGCTTATGCGGTTGCTGCTCCGATTGTGGCACTTGTGAGTTCTGTTCATCTTCTTCTTCATATATCCACGTCATATACATAAACATGATTAATGGGCTAATAAATACGTTATTTAGTTATATATTATTACTATTGCTGGTGCTTATAAGTTGTAATGAGTAGGTTGCCTCACGATCTGGTGCCCATGTGTCACTTTCGGAAGAATAGCAGAGATCGTTGATAGAGGAACAACCAGTGAGTCTTGGTTTCTTCCTCTTTCAATAAACGACGTCGTTTTGCTTTGACATTAAGGATATAATTATAATGAATAATAATTTGGAGGGCTAATTATGGTTATTTTGCAAATATATGGTGGCAGGTTGTTGCGTGCAGGGAATAATATTCTACATACTGGGGGGTTTCACACAATGTGTGTCATGTTACGCTTGCATTTACCGAACGAAGATGAGGAATGCATATAATATTGAAGGCAACGAAGCTTGTGACTGCTTAGTCAGTTGCTTCTGCCCCCACATGTCCCTCTGTCAGGAGTATCGTGAGCTCAAAGCTCGTGGATTCAGCATGTCTGTTGGTAACCTGTAAATCTTTCTTAACAATAATTACATTATTCGGGGATATCTATTTTTGTGGTTTGATATATTTGGGTTTATGTATATTTTATAGGATGGCAAGGAAATGTGGAAATGCAGAGTGCCGGTGTTATGACAGCTCCGGCGGTGGAAGGTGGCATGAGCCGTTAGCGGTGGCGGTGGCTCTCTCTAATTGGTTCTGTGTTGAATGATGTCTTGTGGGAGTGAATTAAGAATAAGGCCTCGTCTCGCTGCATGTTTCTTCTCGACAATCCTTGCAAGTTGTGCTGATCTATAGTCTATACACACACTGACACACACATCTGCTTACATAGTTCTGTTTTATTTTAGTTTGACTCTGTACGATATATACAGTATGCCAATAAACTGTATAGCAATTCATATGCATGCTTCAAAGTTGATCCGATATACTAAGGCCGGTAAAGGGTGTTGTAATGCACGTCTGCTAACGCTATACCTTCTTTGACTGACATCAAAATTCTCGCTCGGTCTCTGTTTTTAGTCTCCAAAGAACGGAGCTTTTTTTTTTTTTTTTTTAAGCAAAGAACAGAGTACCATGTTACAGTTGCCCATTTAACTTTTTTTTTTATGGAAAAAAAAAATATTTAGGTAAGTTGATCTAGACTCATTAGGGTCAAAGTATGTTCTAAACCCAAAGAATACTAACAATTACAAAAATACTTATAAATCACTTATCAGCAAAATCCTTACATTGATAATAAGATTTTTGTCCATTTATAATTTTACCATGCAGACATGAGACTAAAATGTAAGAAACTAACTCCTTGAAAGATTAAAAAAAAATCAAGTGTAGTTTACAAATCTATAAACTATGAACATCTATTTAAAAATTGATGTTAAATTCAGGGATCAAAGAATTAATTGTCCTAATATTCAGAAATATTTTGCTAAGTTAATAAAGAATAGGGGTTAAGTTATATCAAGTAAAAAAAAAAAACTATAAGAATTAGGTTGTTTTGAGTCAAGAAATTATAAAAACTGATTGTCTAGATTCAAAGTTTAGGATTAAATTGATTTAATTAAAAAAATTCAAGGAATAAAATTATCTTTTCTTTTATAATTTATAAGTTTCAAAAATTTTTTCCTAATTGCTTATTATTCTTTAATTCCCAATATTAAACTAGTATAGGTATACATAAATCATAACATAAAAATATAAATTAAATTTTTAAAAATAAAAAATATACAATTGGTTCAACTAGGCAACACATTACAACGGCCAACCGTGACAATAACAATAACCATTAAGTCTTATTTTATTAAGTGGGATTATCAATGTGAATTGTACAACACTATTGTGTTTTATTATATACCAAGCTTTTAGGAATGTTATCAACTAAGATGTTTCAGTCAACAATTTTTTTAAAATTCTCTTTAGCTTTCCTCTATTCTTCTTGACAAGACTCAAAATTATCTGTTTCACTTTTTTTACATGTGCCTTCCATGATATTTTTTGTACATGTCTAAACCATATCAAATGATTTTTACCATTTTCTCATCAATAAGTGTTACGTTTACTTTTTCTTGTTTGTGCTCATTTTAAATTTTATTTTTTTAAGTGTATGCCTGCTTATCTATCTCAACATTTTTATCTCTATTACTTCAACTTTATGTACTTGTTATCCTGTTAAAGCATAATATTCACTAACATATAACATAGCTGTTTTGTAACAATTAATAAAAAATTTTCTTTAAATTTATTAGGCACTTATAATCACAAATAATTCCTTTAGCCTTTTTCTAATTAAACCACCCAACTTGTCTTTTGTGCAACATCCCCATCAATTTTTCATTATGTTGAATAATAGCACCCAAATATCTAAACGTTTTCACTTGAGGTATAATCCGATCTCCAATTTCACTTCCAAATTATTACCGACTGACCTTTTTATTAAATTATAATAAATATTTTGTCTTATTCTTACTTAAGCGAAAACATTTTGACTCCAATGTCCTCCTTTAAAACGCAAGTTTATAGTTACTCTATTCCTTTGTCTCCACAATAAGAATTTTATAATCCTCAAAAAGCATGTATTTGGGGCTTTCTTCTTGAATATGTTCAATCAAAACATATTTAGGACCAAATCAAACAAATAAAGAGTCAAAAATGATTCCTAATGTAACCTAATCCTTACAAAAAAGTCCTTTGTTTTACCACTAGTTTTCATATTAGTTGTTGCACTCTCATATATATATATATATACAAATATTATATAGCACTAATATAGGAAACCCAACTTTTTTTTTTCAAGGCTTTTCAAAGTACTTCTCTTAATAAATGGTAATAAGTTTTTTTTTCAAATCAATAAAAATAATGTGTAAATTTTTACTTTTGCATCGATATTTCTTCATTAATTCTCTTAGTAGATAGATCATTTCTATAGTTGCCCACCCAGCATAAGGCTAAATTGATTCTCAAAAATATCATTTTTCAATATCAACCTATGTTTAATCACTATTTCCTATAATTTCATTGTATGACTCATAAATTTAATCTCTCTATATTTAGCACAATTCTAAATATCTCCTTTTTAAAAAAAAGGAACTAAAGTGTTTTTTCTCCAATCATCAGGCATTTGTTTAAACCGTAAAATCTCATTAAATAACTTAATTAGCGCGCCATCACACCCCTTTTTCATATAAACATTTCTACACTTCAATAAGGATACAATCAGGTCCATTGACTTTACCATTTACTATTCTTGTAACACTTGCCCTAAGTATTATCCAAAAATCACACAATTCAAATAAACTAAGTGTGGTTAAGGAATTAATCCTAAAACCAACTTAAGAAACAAACTATTTAAATCACTAAGCAAATACACAATTGCAAAGTAAACCTTTAAAAAAAATTTATAGGTTCTACCTATAGCACGTGGAAGCAAGCTAGACGAAAGTGAAATAAAAAGATGCTGTCATGACAGCCCTCTTGGGCCAACTTCCGGGAGGCACCGTTTCATCATTCGACCTCTGATCGAAGTGATTTTAAAGCTCACACGTCACATTCAAAGGGTACTATAAGTATACCAAATTTCAAAAAGATCCAATGATCGGATTAAAAATTAGACATGTTAAAAAATTGGTTATTTTTGCTGTCATGACAGCTTTTTTAGCTGTCATGATAGCACTTCTGAACCAACTTTTGGAGTGCACCATTTCATCATCTGACCTCCGATAGGAGTGATTTCAAAGCCCACATGTCACTTTTAAAGAATATTATTAGCATACTAAATTTTGAAAAGATTCAACGGACGGATTGAATTTTATGCAGGTTACAACATCAATACTGTAGCTGTCATGACAGCAATTTAATGCTGTCATGACAGCACCTCCAGACCAAATTCTGGAGTGCATCGTTTCTCCGTCCGATATCCGATCAATGTGATTCCAAAGCCCACACGAAGCTTATAAAAGGTTTTACTTGTGACCCCAAGTTTAGAGAAATCCAACGGTCGGATTAAAATTTGGACACCCCGATGCAAAAGTGCAGCTTTTGGTAAAAATCATTTTCAAAATTGTCCAAATCTCATCCTAATGGTCACAAAACATGTGGGAATACTTTGGACACATCAAATAAGACTAAAAAACACCTGATAAAACATTCAAATGATGGAAAACTCCCATATATCAAAATTTGACCATCCAGGTGCCATTTCCCAAAATGGACCATAAACCCCCAAAATGCACAAATCATACAAAAGTGATCACAAATCAATCTAAATACCATGTATTTATATAAATACATATGCTAAATATTTTCACTTGGCTCAAAGCTCCTTGTGGGGCCCACGCACCCCCTCTCTCTATCCAAGGTGTATGTTTGCCCATAGCACATCATTTGCAATGCAACCACTTTGCATTTGCTTATAAAATCACATATATATCAAAATAAATATCTGTTTGTAATAGAAACTTGGTCTACTAAGTAAATCCATCAAAACCACACACTATAACCAAGTTTCCTAGCTACAAGTCTGCAAACAGACAAAAATTCATACACAAGCACACAATCCACACATATTCACACACACATACACAATCATATCCTACTGGCACCCTAATCCTAAATACATTACAATATATTTGCTCAAAAGAAAGGGGTTGCAGTTCTTTACAAATCACAAGCAAACCCCTAGCTTTGCTCCTTTCCCCGTCCACCACTGGATCCTTCACCTGGACCTAGAATATTGAAAAGAGAGGGGTGAGACAACCACAGTCTCAATAAAAGCGAAATCTACATTGATTATTATAAAGTAAGCCATAATCAAATAAACGAATAATAAATTCAACATAGTATATAATTTAGCCATTTAGAATGTATGAATGCATGATCTAGGCCGGTATGGCCTTTCATGACCAACAGAATGCCCCCTGGCACTCTTTAACTCGCAGGTAAACCTTATACCCACTTGTACCTCCACAGGCACAAAACATAATCTAAGGCATGATCTAATCTATGTAACAGTCACACCCCCCGAGCCTACTGCTGCGAGTGGTGGACTGGGCCGTAACCACCTCACAGCAACCCAGCCGGCTTTCCCCATGGTAGTTCATGGGTTATTCCCCGCACCCACTGACTCAATAGTACCAAGTTTAGCCTCAACTTCGCTATATAGGAGAGGTTGGAGGATTAAACCTGGGAAGGCTCCCTTAGCGCAGTGGGTGCGGGGAATAACTCCTGAACTACCAAGAGGAAAGCCGGCTTGGTTGCCGTGAGGTGGCATGACCCAGTCCACCACTCGCAGCAGTGGGCTCGGGGGGGTGTGACTGTTATATAAAATAGATATTTTATTTTTTTTATTTTTATAAATCTGAGTCTTAAAATTTCGGGATGTTACAATTTTCTTAATAACTTCCTTTATCTCAATATTATATATTCTTTGATAGAATGACAAATATTGTTCTTCACAAGTTACTAAATCTAGGTACCAAATTTAATTTTGCTTACATGGACTTACTTCTTTTGCTGTGTTAGTCCATAATAATGCGATAACCCTTACTTATTTAACACTACCTCTAAGCATTGACATAGTGGCTCTTACTCACTTGTCAGTTATTGACAATGACCTATCTTTAGCACAAAAACGTCTATCATTCATATTCATATAAGATTCAATAAATTTTTACATTAGCTATTGAGAGCCTAATATAATAAAGATTTTATAATTTTGAAAAATCTTTGTTGATTGTCCAATATACATACTCTCCTTGGTTCAAAATATAAATATTTTTTTAGTTAATTTGGGTTCAAAATATAAGCAGTCTATATGTATAATTTTTTTTATTTTACCCCTTAAATTT